TCAATAAATACCACTACAAAGGAATCCAACTACGGATGAAAAAACCTATTCATGTAGTCGGTAAATATTGCTGAAGTATTCGTCACACCAAAAGGCATCACCAAATACTCAAAATGCCCATACCTCATCCACAAAGCAGTTTTAGGAATATCCTCCGTCTTAACTCGAAGTTGGTGATAACCCGATCGAAGGTTGATCTTTGAAAATATAACTACTCCCCTCAATTGATCCATCAAGTCATCAATTCTAGGCAATGAATACTTGTTCTTGATAGTAACCTTATTCAACTCTCTATAGTCGGTGCATAACCTCATCCTCCCATCCTTTTTCTTAACCAACAAAACCGGTGTACCCCACGGCGAGACACTAGGACGAATGAATTTCTTTGCCAACAAATCCTCAACCTGCTTTTTCAACTCAGCCAGTTCTAACGGTGCCATCCTAAAAGGACCTATAGATATAGGTCCCGTTCCAGGTACCAAGTCAATGGAGAATTCAACTTCTATGACTAGGGGAAATTCTGGAATATCACCAGGAAACACCTCAGGGAACTCACGAACTATCGGAATATCATCAATGTCGGGTTTCTCAATACCCTCCAGTGATGTCAACAACACAAACACTGATCCCCCTTCCTTAAGGGAAGTCCAGACTCTTAGCCGACACTGGCTCCACACAACTAGCCTGGTCGGAAATCTCACATTGATCTCCAAACACCACAGTCTTATCAGCTCAATTAAGCATAACATTTTTTGCTGACAACCAGTCCATTCCCAAAATTAAATCTAATTAGGATAGCGGTAATCAGATTAAATCCACGGTAAATGTCCTACCATTTACCACTACCGGACACTGAGACACAAACATCGATACCACCACCGGCACACTAGTTGGGGTGGATACGGAAAAGTCGAAAGGCAACGACTCTGTTTGTAACTTCAATTGATCTACACATTCAACAGATACAAAGGAGTGTGTCGCTCCCGAATCAAATAACACTAAAAGAGGAATACATGCCACCATCCAATTACCTTTGATCAGGCCATCCACATCTGATGCCTCTGCACCACTCATGGTAAACACTCAACCGGTAGATCGAGGTCGTTCAGCCCTCAAGACATTCAAACTCTACCGTAACTTAGGACAATACCTCTTCACATGCCCCTGTCCTCCACAATGGAAGCACCCATTTCCCGATCTGGGGCAAATATTGCCATAGTGTCCCCGACCGCATTTGCTGCACATAGGATAGGAGTTTGGAGATGACCCTCTAGTAGTAGTTGTGGTGGTTGGCCTTTGAGAACAACGATCACGATGGTTGCTAGGTGGACCATGTGACACCCTAATTTTATTTGCCTAAGTGTAGTGAAATTCTAGGGTATATTGGGTGATTCTCGCTTGAGCGAGAGGGCCTCGCCCAAGCGAGAGACCCATTATCTGCTCCCAGGATTTCCTGGGATTCTCGCTTGGGCGAGATGTGGCTCGCCTGGGCGAGGGAGAGAGGGTTGACACTGAAGGATCCTCGCTTGAGCGAGAGCACCAGATCTGAGTTTTTAAAATAGGCGGGATCTTCTCACTTGAGAGATAATGGGCTCGCTTGAGCGAGAACCGGATGCTGTTACATTAAAATGGGAACCCTAAACAGTTTTAGGGTTAGAACTTTGGAGAGAATAGAGAGAAGAGAGCATTTTCAAGAGCAAGGATTCTTGAGAATCATCTAGAGGCTTGAGAAGAGGTAAATCTCTTGATTCTAACTCTCATTCTTCCCTTTGAAACTTGATTTGGTTAAGTGGGATCTCTTCTCTTAACATTAGAAACCATGAAGACTCTCTATTTAGAGTTGTGGTTCGTTTTATGTTGTTTTTCTCTTGAAAACTCTTGGTTTAGAGTTGGGAATCAAAGATGGGGATGATTTGTGGGTTGATTTATGAAAACCCCAAAACCCCCAAAATGAGAATAAGAGTAAAGAGGGAAATGGGTGAAATGTTAGATGTAGAAGATGAGTATATGTTCTAATGTTGATTATAAGATGAATATTTATGTTTTAAATGTTTGGAAACTCTTAATGAAGGTAGTTTTGGAAACATTGAAAATATGTAAATCTCTTGTATGGTTAAAGATGAAATATGAGTTGTTTAAGTGTTATTTTGAATAAATGACTAACATTGTTACTATGTGGTGGGAACTTGCAAAGTTACGAAAGGTCAAACCCAACACTCACCAAGGTAAGGATAAGTCTTTAATTAGCATATCGTATTGAAAGAATGCGTGGAATTGCTATTTATGAGTTGATGGTGAATCAATGAAAAGAAAACATACTTTTAGCCGACTATGATTGGTTAGCGACTATGGCTCAAGTTATGTAGCAATATTTTGGGTCAAGTTATGTAGCGATACTTTGGCTCAAGTTATGTAGCGATAATTTGGCTCAAGTTATGTAGCTATACTTTGGCTCAAGTTATGTAGCGATACTTTGGCTCAAGTTATGTAGCGATACTTTGGCTCTAGTTATGTACCGATACTTTGGCTCAAGTTATGTAGCGAAAATGAATTTAAAATGGTTTACTAACCCCATTAAAATGTGGATTATCTCATAATGATATTTATTGAATTAATGACTTACTCCTTTGTATGTTGTGTGTATTTGTCATTGATAATACCATTACAAGTAAACAGGTTAATTGAGGATGCTTGGTTTGATGCCTTAGGAGCTTAAACCTGGATTTCCTTTATTTTGCCCCTTTTTTGTATTTTGACTGACTAAATGCAATTTTGGATAATTTTAACTCCGAGCATTGTAACATTGGATATTTGTAGCTATGGGCATTTTGGAAGCCTATAGCTAGTTGTATGTTGTAGTTACCTGGAGACATTAATATGAATTATGTTTTTCTGTTAAATGAATGCGTGTATGGACATTACCTTATAGAATGATCATAAATCGGAAAGCGGGATTAATATGAAGTTATTGGATTTGTGATTCTAAGTTATAGGAAAAATGTAGATGAATGGATTAAAATATGGAAAAAATTTCAAGTGTAGATATTAGGTCCTTACAGACCATAAGGTCGTCGGTCTTCAGCCATCTTCTCCTTACTCCTTCCTTGCACAAAGTTGCGCTAAGGTCCATAGTTTCGGGGAGGATTCATTTTGCCAGTTGCAGTTTCCCTCACTTGCACATCGTCCTCATACATTCTACACTTGTTCACAAGTGTAGAGAAATCAGAAATCTCTTGATTACCAAACATCACCTTCAGCTCAGGTTTCAGACCCATCTCAAACTTGACACGTTTGGACCTCCCGTCCACTTCAAGTTCGGCATAAGGACAATACCAGCCCAATTCCTCGAATTTAGCCGCATCTTCTCCCACGGTCAAACCCCTTGCTCTAACCGCAAGAATTCCATCTCCTTCTTCCTTTTTAAGTCCGCAGAAAAGTATTTCTAGAGGAATTTGCTTTTGAAGGACTCCCAAGTAATGATCTATCCCTTGGCCTTCATCTATCTTCGGATCATCTCCCTCTAGTTCTCAGCCTCCTTGACTAGCATATAGGCGGCGTACGCCACTTTCTGAGCATCAGAACAGCTCATGGCCCTAAAGATTCTCTCCAACCCTTGGACCCACTCAATGGCAGCATCAGGAGCGAACCCACCTTGGAACTGACTAGGGTTCCTCCTGCAGAATTCATCCAGACCTCGGTACTCGGCTGGTCCTGGTGGAACCAGGGGTTATGAACTCGGGCTTGGTGCTGTGTTCTGATTCAAAGTCTGCAAATTCTCGTTCACATGTTGTAGTGCAGCCACCATCTGAGCCAAAAGTTCATTCACAACATTCTGACCCGCTGCTCTTCCTCTTCCAGCCATGGGTACCTGTACTCATTCACTTGTCAGTAAATCAAAACTTTAACCAAACAAGGATCACATAATCACACAACACTTTGTACAAACCAAATAATTCAATCACATAAAGGTCACAAAGAAGCACGTAAGGCCATACCGTAGGCCGTGGGATTAACTATGCTCTGATACCATATTGTAAGGACCCAAATTCTACCCTTGAAATTTTTTCTTATTTTAACTCATGCAAACATGTATTTTTTCTTATATCTTATGATTGGCAAGCCAAGGTATGTTATATTAATTACTTTGATTATTTTCTGATCATTTTATCATGCAGTATTCATACACACATCCATAAGGCAGAAAAACATAATTCGTATTAATGTCCCCCATTTAATTGGGACATGGGAATAGTTATAGGTTTTCCAAAATCATAATACCCACGGTTACAAGTATACAAAAATTCAATGACCATAGTTACAAATATTCAAATCCGTAAATAGTCAGTTATGACACAAAAAGTGTAAATAAAGGAATCCAGATTTAAAAGCTCATAAAGCTCCAAGTCAAGTATCCTTAATTTATCCAATCACATGTAATGAGATTATCAAATGGCAACACACAAAAACATACAAAGGACTAAGTCATTTAATTCAATAAATATCATTTGATATATTCCACATTATAAACATAGTTAGATAAACAATTTAAGCATTCCAACATAAAATCATTACATTTCATTTTATCTCATACGACCATTCTTACTTTCACATTCTCCCATGTCTAACCTTGTTACCTTATTCTTCATTCCTGTTTTACTTAGCCATTTCCCACTTACATGTACTTCCACAATACCACATAGGGAAAGACATTCAATTCACCACCACTTGGGCAAAACATTCAATTCAATATCACTCACTACAAGATATTTGGTATTTAGTGGAGGTTTTTTTGTGGAGGTTATTAAAACCTCCCCAAATAAATCAAATGAGGTGGGTTGAATGATTAAATAAGTATGTAGTGGAGGTTTTAATTTAATTTATGGAGGTTTTCAACCTCCACTATAAATTAAAAAAACTGCATATCACATTATCACTTCCAATCAATTTCAAAATATGACTTTTCCTAAGATTAACTTCCAAATAAAAAACAAATATCTTTGAAAATGTAAAGTTTTTGTATAACTCTAATAGGGTTTGTTATCCTGTTAACATTACTTTTGAAAAATCACATTCTCAAGTAAGTGAATGTTAATTTCATGGATCCAATATTCCAATAGCATTACTTTTAAAAAATCACTTCATCTTCCTTTTTCTGTAAATGATCACTTCACAAAAACAAAAGGTTTTAAACTTACCCTATAACAAAATCACTCCAATTTCTTCCCTAGGTCTTCTTCCTTCTCTAAATTCAACGCCATTCCATTCTCGCCACGGCGGATTCTATCGGCAACGGAGTCTCTTCTTCCATCATCAGGTCGTAGCTCCGAGAAGCTTAGTCTTCCTCAATCATTCTCAGGTTACGAATCTGAGTTACTCCTTCTCCATTCTCAATTCCAATCCTCACTCTTTCGCGAACAAGCTAAAATGAGTTTCACTTCGGTCTCTGATTTCGGTTTTGATAGAGTTGCTTATTTCCCTGAACAACTCGCAGATTTGCTTAGTGATGTTGCGCGTTTGTTGCCTTCGGGGCTTCGATGTGATGTCACGCGCTCTCTCATTTTACTCCTGAATCGGAAGGTTATTTCACATTTCAATTCCATTAAATTTGGATTTCTATTCTGTTATTGAATTGTGTATTTGGTGTTTTGGAGTTTAGTATTCATTGTGAAGTGAATTGGATGAAATAAAAATGTTTAGTGTTTTTTATTGTGGATTGTGCATATGAATTTGAATTTGGTGTTAGTTGTGTAGTGGAATTGAATGTGATTTTTTGTGTGAATTGTAAATATGAATTTGAATAGAAGTGTAATTTGTTATTCAACTCACACATTGAGAGAAAAAAGTGGTTCATTCTTTTTATGACTTAAGCAACATGTATGGTCCCACTCTTGTGACCATATTGCAGGCTACATAGTGGGATTGTGTATACTTTTCATTGTTATACAATTTTTTTCTAGTTCTTCTCTTGGTGGTAAGTCAGCATCTATTGTGGAAGAAGCAAAAGAAAAAGTACATAGGACTTTGGTGCTTTCGAGGGAATTATAAAGTTGGTAGTGTTTTGTATTTTCTCTTCCATATTTGTTTGCTTCAATCTGTACAATCTTTACCTCTGTTTACCTTTCACCATATGTTATTACTTATTACCATTTAGGATGGTTGATACTTCGAAGCACACCATGTGTTTGATAAAATATTCAAATGAGTTCAATTATGGTTTTTAGGTGAAATGTGATTTGAAATTGAATAAAAATATTTTTGTGTTGACTAGGTTATGATGAAGGTATGGGGTAATTAAGTTTATTGAAATTCCAATAGTTCTTGATTGTTGGAACTGATATAGGCTGTCTTGCAGATTGGTATACTTAAAAATTAATGTAAAGTCACGTTGAAGGAATTGAAGCAATGGATGAAGCCACATGTGGTACACCATTAATAGAAGCTAAGTTAAATTTTATTTATATTATGTGTTAGGTGGTATCATTATGAACATTCTGACAATGCATGGAAGCTTCAGAGTGCAAATATGAAAAACAACGGCTCTTTGAACAAAGTGAAGAATTAGATTAGTGTTTGTTAACAAAGCTTATACTTTTATGCATACTTTGAGCTTAGAATTGAGTAGGATTGACTTATTTAATATCTACAGCTGGAGAAATGTGCTGCAATTTTTAGACCAAAATTGATAGTTGATGGTGCCAATGCTTATGCTTGCCTTTATGATTATGCACGTATTCGCAAGGTAAACTCTGTCTGATCAAGGAACATAGATATATGATGTTTAAAACAATTAAGTGATGATGATATTGTATCATTTACATTTAAAATTTTGTAGGTATAAGCAGAAGACAGTTCTGTTGCCTGATATAGCACATATCAGTGGATTGGTTATTGTTGGTGTTATTCCTTATCCCATTGATTATGCAGATGTTGTTACAACAACAACACGTAAGTCACTTTGTGGACCACACGGATCTATGATCTTCTTCAGGAAAGGTGTAAAAGAGATAAACAAGCAAAGGCAGGAAGTGAGTCTTAAATTTTAAACTAATTGTGGTTAAGTTATAAAACTATTTGTGGGGTAAGTCGAGAAAGTGCTATACTTCTGGGAATTTACATTATTACACGCTTAGCAGTTCCATTGAAGCAGGTAATTTAATCGACTAGCTCAAGAAACTTGTTGTCATCTTAGATTCCCTAGAAAATATGTATTTTTTAAGGCAAATAGTCCTAGTGCATCTTTTGTTGTCAGGCTGATTGTAAGTTTGATTCTTCATTTGTGTGAATGTAGGCTATGACACCTGAATTCAATCATTACCAATAGCAAGTTCTGAGTAATAACTCAACTTTTGCACAAGTAAAATGAATGTCTTTTGTATGGTTTGCATCAGTGTTGTTCAAGCTTCTGAAAACTAGTTATTTGCTAATGTTGTAATAATTGTGGCTTCCTCAGATTTGAATGTTATAGCTGACTTTGTTGTGTTGATTGAACTCCAATGTTGATTGACTCTGTTGTCATATTGTTTGTACATATCAATAAGTTGATAACCTTTAATGAAGTAGTCACTTTCTTATAACTTTGTGTTTGTACGCTTGTATACTATGTGAATGTTTGTTTATGTTAAATCTCATGCTATCAAAGGTCTTAGACGCTATGAAAACTCTGAATACTCATTGCCTTTCTTTCTAAGTTAGAAAGAGAAGACATATTAAAACACTAGAAATAAGGAACATGACTATGACATTGGAACATGGGATAAGAAGATACATGTTTTATATGAATTCTCTGTATATTATATTTCGTTAATGTGTATCTTTAATGTTCACTTATTTAATAGTTAAATGATACTTAATAGTTAATGATATTTTATTTTATTATTTCAGGCAAATGATGATGCAAGTGTGTCTGATACACCTTTGGATGCAAGAGGATCATCTGGAGCCACCAACATTTAAGATATTTGTTATGTATTTTGTTTTTAAAGTGTCATATGAGACTACTTTTAGTTTTTTGAGATTTTATGGTGTATTTTGATTTATAATGAAAAATGAATTATAACTCTTTCATTGCTACCTTTGTTATTTGCAATGAAATTTTATTATTGCGAAGAACATTTGGATCTAGTATTGTAAACTTAAATAATAATTATAAATTAATGAGATTAGAGTTGTGAAACTTATGAAATTAAATTGAGGTTAAAATAATAGTTATATTATCAAATAGTAGAGGTTTAAAGCCTCCATGGTAAACACTACAAAAATCTCCTCATATTGTGGAGGTTTACAACCTCCACGATAAATATTACAAAAACCTCATCCATTAGTGGAGGTTAAAAACCTCCTCAAATAGCGGATGTTAAAAACCTCCTCAAATAGCGGATGTTTAAAACCTCCTCAAATAGCGGAGGTTAAAAACCTCCACTAATAAACCACTAAATTTATCAATATCAGGGGTTTTCTAAAACCTCCGCTAAACTCTTCTAGCGGTCATAACTGTGGAGGTTTATGAAACCTCCGCTAGCTATATTGTGGAGTAAAGGTGTCAAAACGGGCTACGCGGGCGGGTTCGGGCTAAACCGGGTCGGGCTAAAAAGCCCGGATACAATTTATGTATATCAAAATGTAGCCCAAGCCCGCCCTATGCGGGTTGCGGATTGTGGCGGGCCGGCCCGCATTATATTAAAAAAAATATTTAAATTTTAACATATTTAATATCGGCCCGCATAATATTAAAAAAATTATTTAAATTTTAACATATTTAATATCGGCCCGCATAATATTAAAAAAATTATTTAAATTTTAACATATTTAATATATATATATATATATCATTTGATATTAATGCAAAATTTTTTAACACAATTGTTATACTCAATGCAACCAAACTTATAGATATAATGCTATGTGTTTAAGCTAAGACATGATGTTAAGTCTACGGATATGATTTATGACATAACTTATTCATTAAATATTTTATTTATATTCGACTCTCAATCTCTAACACAATATAATTTGTAACTTCACTTCAATATAATAAATGGATACAGTAAAAAATAATATCACTTTGGTTTATAGTAATGATAGTATAGACTCAAATTCAGAATGAATTCTATGTGTCGAAGTATAATTATCATCATAATATTTCTTTACTTTGTGTATGGACATCTTTTGTATACTATTTATCAACACTTTCATTGTGAACTGTTATGTTAAATTTGGTTGTGTTGAGTTCTCTACGGTAAACAATTAAGTTGTTTTTCAGTTTCGTTGTAAAAATTATTTTCTTTATTATGTTTTTGTTGTAGAAGTTAAATCTAATTAAATATACAATTAAAAGAAGAAAAATAGAATTGATATAGTTTAATGTTCTCAATTAATTTGATACACTATTTTGCTAATGTGCTTAAAAGGATATTAAGCAAAATAGGAAAAATAATATAATTATTAACTTCATAACATTATTGTAATTTATAAATATTTATGTTATAGACATTACTCTATTTTTTATTCAAAGTTCATTACACAATATTTAGTATATATTATCTATTTTTTTATCATAAGTTATTTTGTAAAATAATTTTCATCTTAAGCTTATTACCTAGCCAAAAAGTCCCAAAAAAAGTTTTAAAATAAGAGAAAACGGGTAGCCCAAACCCGCCCGGGTAAGCCCGGCCCGAGCCCGGTTTTAATATAGCCCAACCGGGCTGGGCTAAAAAGCCCGGATTCACTAAAAATTGCCAAATTTAATACCCAAGCCCTACAAAATTTCGGGTTGTGGCGGGCCGGCCCGCACGAGCCCGCCCATTTTGACACCTCTATTGTGGAGGTTAAAAACCTCTACTAATCGCAAAAAAAACCTCCACTAAATACAAAGTCTGTTGTAGTGCCTTGGGCAAGACATTCAGTTCAATACCACTTGGGCAAGACATTCAATTCAATACCACTTGGGAAAGACATTCAGTTCAATACCATTTGGGCAAGACATTCAATTCAATACCACTTGGGCAAGACATTCAACTCAATACCACTTGGGCAAGACATTCAATTTCAATACCACTTGGGCAAGACATTCAATTCAATACCACTTGGGGAAGACATTCAATTCAATACCACTTGGGCAAGACATTCAATTTCAATACCACTTGGGCAAGACATTCAATTTCAATACCACTTGGGCAAGACATTTAATTTCTTTGATACTTCCCACATCTTATTCCTTTCGAGTCATCCACATATAACCGCACATCTCATATTTCATATCTCAGAATAAATGTTTGTCCTTACCTTGGTGAGTGTTGGGTTTGGTCCTTGGTAATTTTGCAAGTTCCTCCGACACCGCCTCCAACCTTAGGATCTTTCCTCATCCCCACCATACAACAACAAAAGTCAGTAATTTATTCTCAACAGCATATAAACAACTCATAGTTCATCCTTAACCATACAAAAGATTCATACATTTTCAATGTTTCCCAAATCGCTTCATTAGAAGTTTTCAACAATAAAACATACATATTCATCTTCTATTTTACATTAGAACACATGCTCATGTTCTACATCTACCATTTCACCCATTTT